CCCCGCCCCCGCAGCGCCCTCTGACAGCTTCGCGGACTTCTCCAGCGCGTTCTCGCCGCACGACACACTTGTCGCTACAAACAACAATAACAACGGTAACACTATTTAAAATAATATAATATAGGATACACTTTGTACTTATGATATGAAATACTGATGTAATATGATATTTTTTCTTATCCCAGCAATTATCCGCCATTTTGTTTTGTCGGCCATCTTGGATTTAGCATTGTAATTTTACTTGTCAAACTGTTTGTTTTGATCTTTTACATAGTGCACTGTATTTTGCTAATTAACCACTACTTTGATAATTAAATTAAGATAGTTGAAACATTTATAAACTAACTAATGTAAATTATAAGTGAGTAATTTTAGATGTAGAATTTATCTTTAGCAACATTTATTTTCTATTTTTGATGTTAAACGTTATTTATTTGTGTTACTTGTTTTTTATATGACTAGCTGTACCCGTGTGACTTCGCTTAAAATTATAAAAAAAATTATTGTTCACATATGTCAAGTTATCAATTGCAAATGTCAAAATGACAAACATGACATGAAGACAATGCATGAGAATTTTGCTTTTTTGATGTTGGCAGCAACTTACGGTCTCTTTCCCACATTAGGGTTTTTACCCAAAATATTTACCCCCTATGTTAGATAGCTTGAAAATATATAGCTTAAAGCGTGACGTTAGTGTAAGGCTTTTTATTAAAAAATAAATTATTCAAAAATATGTTGTAATTGCTGACATCTTATTCAACAAAGAAGTGTGTGTTTACGCTTTATTATAATAGTATAGATTGATGAAGTAATTTTGATGAATTCCAGCTCCGACATCAAACTTGGACTTGTTAAGTGAGTTAAGTCCTCCCGCGCCGCCCTCCGCCTTCGGGGACCTCGACACGCTCTCGGGACAGTTCTCCTCCATTCAAATGCAAGGTAACACTCATTAATACAAAATTATCTGTATATATACTAATATAAAGAGGAAACATTTGTATTTTTGTATCTATTGAAATAACTTAATTACTTGACTGATATCAAAATATCTTTCACCTACGTTATCAGTAACAATTTGTTTATTTATTTTTATTTTTTATCTGGATTAAATCACGTGCAATTTGTATAAAAAAGTAATCAATACGATAGCAAACGATACTAGAAATATACTATAAAAGCACGCTTACAAATTATATTAACGTCTATCTTAACGCTTCAAATTATTTAAAACTGGCTATTAAAATATAGCCTAAGTTTTCATGTTAAAAGAATTTTTTAAATCGATGCAAAATTTATGAGTTATAAGAATACATACAAAAATACGAATATTTCCCTTTTTTGTGTTAGTAAAAATGTGAAAGTTTATAGGAAAGTGGATGTATGTTAAAGTAATCTAAACTACTGAATGGATTTTAATGAAATTTGATACAGATGTAGAGGACAGTCTAACAAATAGGATATTTACTTTTTAATTCCACGACAGTCTCCTAAGTTAGTAAATAAATCGAAATACACGTGTTATAATTATTGTGTACCTTCATCTAGTTTTGGGCACATTCAGGTTTTTCTCTTTACAGATGGGGGACCCTCCGTATTGTCGCTCAGTCTCGCCAAATGTATGGACAATCTGCTGAACTACACCTCCCGCACCTCCATACACTGCGCCGGCGACGCTCGCAATGTCAAAGATATATTGACTACCTTATGTGAACATTTGCCAGGACCCATAACTGTAACAAAATTAACCGAACAAGATGTTATTATGAATAATAAATTAATAAATATGTACTCGAAAGTACTTACGAATCTAATAAAAATCTGTCTCCCGCAATGGCCGATGTTCAAACAAGAATTAATACATATATTTACTATAGAAGAAAGCTTTAAAGTCTCACATGAATCTTTGATTATTCTCTGTGGCTTTTTAAAAGAGGAAACTCAATCGACCATTCTAGAAGGATTATCTACAATATTACTGAAATATGCTAAAAGTGACGCCGTGTTCGCCGCTGCTATATGCTCTTGTCAAATTAAAGAAAACAATGAAACATTTAAAAATGAATGGGAAAATTTTGTACAATTATTGGTCACTTTACCCGAAAGAGTTGCGAATAAATTAACAACGAAAACTCCAAAAGAATTCTCACATGAAAATTATTCTTATTTACTAGTATTTCAAATAATACGTTCGCTGGATTTTATTGTCGATAGTAATTTTTATACCGGAAACAAATACGATTTAACATTATTATCTCATTTGGTATCGAAATTTATTAATAATTATAATAATACTATAGCTATGAATAAATTCGTCGATGTTATTATCTCTTGGTCTGATAACAGAGGAAATTCCTTATATCTAAGATCAAAATTAATTGAAACCCTTTTGAACCATTTAAATCGACAAGCTATAGATAATGTATCGGTTATTTTATTAAAAAAATCACCCTTACATTATAATAATAATGAACAACCGATAAAAAGAATACTCGGTAATAATATCGATGTTAATAACGATTGGAATCAAGTACTTATATTTAGAATACCTTTTTATGTGAAACCTAACAATTATACAGATACAAGAATAGTTGAAAATCTCGTATATTATATATCAACGAGTAAAAATAATGTTCAAATATTAACAGATTTAATACTGAGGTTAGCTAACGCTTGGTCTGATGTCAAATCTAATAATGTTTCAAGTTTAGACGATCATATGTATATATCAGAAATACTTATATTGTCAATCAAATATAGAAGTAAATTAGCAAACAAAAACCCTTGGCAATTGAACGAACTTAAAACTATACTATTTAAAGGCATGTCTAAACATTTAGATATCCTAGCACAAGAATTAAGATGTGTGGGAATGGCGACTATTGAAATTATCTTCAATATATTAACAGAAATAGATGTAACAGACAGACAAGCGGCTGAACAATTAAGATTCGATTATTTAAGTATGGGAATCACTTGTACTAATGTACATAAGACATTGAAGGAATTGTCTATGAAATGTTTCTTAGATAAAAAATCGATTAATCGAATAACAACAAAAGCGGAGACAATCGATTTGAAAGAAACTCTCGATAGCATCGCTTACAGAGTTATCGATGAAGATTTAAGACCAAGTCACAATACTGTAATTACAAGTGCAGTTAAAAGTACGGAGCAAACTAAGACTATAGTAAAAGCTATAATATCTGCTAAACTAGAAGATATGGACAAGGATAAGAGCGAAGTTGCTTTAGATTCTGATGACGATTTACAACCTTACGATATGAGCAATGACGTCACAGAAGCATCTAAAAAAAGACCAATGTATTTACGTGATTTGTTAGAAATTCTAACAGAATCGAAAGATCTAGAAACTTTCGAAGCATCAGTGCTAGCTGCTGAAGAATTAGTTGAAAAACAACTAAAACACGATGATAAAAAACTAGCAATAGATTTGCTAGATTTATTCCTACATCTAGAACAGAAATATAATATAGATAATTTCGACAGTATCAAATTTAATATATCCGTGGCGATAGTCTGCAGTCAGCCTGCGACGTGCGCTGAACATCTCTGTAAAGAAATACACACGGATATTGGAAGATATTCGATAGCAACGAAAATGTTCATGCTCGATGTGCTATCGGAATCCGCGAATAGAATAGCCGGTGTTAAAAAACAGGAGGAAAAACCTAAAACGGTCAAAGTTAAACAAAACGATGAAATACCAGCGGAAGAAATAATACGACGACGTTTAATAAATAAAACTAAATATTTCCACACGATACGACCTCATCCCTTCTCTAAAGCGAGTATTAACCGTTTCGCTGCAGTCTCGGATTCTTTTTTCTACCCTCTAGTGGGTGGTTTTGGTTTGAAACAACTAACTCTCAGCCATCACAATCAAAAACAAGATGTCGATAATATTCTCTTGTTAAAATATCTATCGGTCGTTGGAAATATTATTTTAGTATCGAAAAATTGTCCGAAATGCCCGAATTACTGTCGCGATGTGATGCGAATGGTGCTGTATTTGAGATTCTCTCCCGAACCGAAGATACAGAGTAGCGTGATATCGATTATCGCGTCGATTATACTCGCGTTGCCGGAATCGATGTTGCGAGGAGAGTTTTTAGAATCGATGTTGGAAGTTCGAGCCTGGTTAATCGATTGTCTATCGAATTTGGATCTAACAATGAGACTTGGAGGACCTAAATCTGAGGCGGCGATATTTGCAGGACAAGTTCTACATTTGTTAGAGAAAATCGTTACATTAGAGGGTTAAAATATGAGGCTACTAAATCTCTTTCACGACTACCCACCGTTTACTAGTAATGTCTGTTTGTGCCACTAGATGTAGTTGTAGGCGTAAAATTACATGTATTTCGATTTACTGTAATTATTAGATTTATGATCTCAAATATGTTTTTTTATTTATTAATTATACATATATAGATAACGTCCGGCGACTTCTAAAATGTATATATTTGGTTGTTTTTTTCCTAGTTATTATGTAAGTAAATTCAACAGGTATCCAACCGACCCTAGGCCTGCTGCAGCCGATAGCACCAAACAACAACATCAACAACCAACAACCACAACCGATAACAACAAACAACACGAAAACAACAAAAGTGGGAGCCACCT